GGGCTCGTCGCTGGAGCTCTCGGAGCCGGTGGACGGCGGCAACAGGGAGCTGGTGCCCTTTGACAGCGACGACACGGACGACGAGTCCTCGCCCAGCCCCTCCGGGACGCTGCAGAGCCAGGCCAGCCACTCCACCATCTCCTCCAGCTTCGGCAGTGAGTCCTCCCCAGCCCCCGCTTAGCGCAAAAGCTGCTTTCTCACCCCAAAGTTATGGGCCTCTCTGCCTTGCGTTCCTCGGGGAAATCTGCAGGGGGAGGCTTTTGAGCCAAGGAAATCCTGGGAAAAGAGGTGTGGTCCTGGGATGGGTGCCTTTGGGTAAAACCTACTGGGTTTTGGGGCTCAGCATCACTATGTCCTCTCCTGGGCCTGACATCACGAGGGGACCTGTGATCTCTTCCCCGTGCCTTCGGAGGGTGTGGGGTGCTCCTGGTCTGACCCATTCCCTCCTCCCGCTGCTCCTCCGCAGACGAAGAGATCCCGAGCTGCAAGGAGGCAGCAGTGGAGACGACGAGCTCGGAGGAGGAGCAGGAGCCTGGTTTCATGCCCATCACTGGCACCTACGGGCAGGCCCGGCACGGGGAGAGCCCCACGGACGGGCGGGCCCTGCGCCGCTCCAGCCGCGGCTCCTTCACCCGCGGCAGCCTCGAGGACCTGCTCAGCCTGGACCCCGAAGCCCACCAGAGCTCCATGTGGCTGGGCACCGAGGATGGATGGTATGTCCCCAGGATGGAGGGGGATGCGTGGCTTGGGTGGCCTCCAACCCCTGGTGAGCCCTGGGCTTTGCTCTCCCGCAGCATCCACGTGTACCAGTCCTCAGACAACATCCGGAACAGGAAGAACAGCATGAAGATGCAACACTCTGCCGCTGTCATGTGCATCTTGTGAGCAGGGAAAAGGGGGGTTTTCAGCTCCTGTGGGTGGCCGTGGTGGGGTGGTTTGGGATGGCTGAACAGGTGTTTTCTCTCCCCAGGTACCTGGATAACCAGGTGTTTGTGTCGTTGGCCAACGGAGAGCTTGTCGTGTACCAGCGGGAGGCAGGTGAGGCCGGATCGGGAACGTGAAAAGACACTGCTGGGCATAAATACAGGCCTAAAGTGGTGGCTGGTGGGTGGGTGGGTTGGTGGCTTGGGCAGCCACCTGGGGAGGGGTGCTCAGGGACTGGAGGTACCAAAATTGGAGGTGTACATCGTCCTCCTCCTCCCTGCTTGCCGCTGG